TCCCTTCATCCTCTCTGCTTTATCTTTTATTTCAATCTGTTCCTGCTGTTCTTCTTCTCCTTCTTCTCCTCTTCCTTGTTTACTCCCCCTTTCCTCCTCTTTCTTTTTTACTTCCATCTCCTTCTCCTCTTCTTCTTCTCCTTCTTCTCCTCTTCCTCTTTCTCTTTTACTTCCATCTCCTCCTTTTCTTCATTTGCCTTCTTCTTCTTTCTCTACCTTTTCCTCCTACTTCTCTTCTCTTCCTCTTTCCCCTCCTCCTCCTCCCTCTACGTCATCCCCCCTGCCCCCTTCCCTACTTCCTCTTCCTGCCAAGTTCCTCCTCCTCCTCCTTCTTTTGTTCCTTTCTTTCTTCCTCCTTCTCCTCCTCCTCTTCTTCGTCTCTCTCCCTCATCCTCCTCTTCCTCATTCTCCCTTTACGTCCTCCAACCCTACCACCTCTTCGTCCCCTTACTCCACCTCTTCTCTTCCTTCCTCCTCCTTCTCCTCCTTCTCCTCCACTCCACCACCACCACATCCTCCTCCTCCCCCTCCTCCTTCTCCTCAGCTCCAGCTCCACCCTCCCACCACCACATCCTCCTCTCTCCTTCTCTCCTCTTTCCTCTCCTCCTCCTCCTCCTCCTCCCCCTCTTTCTTCCTCCCTCTACGTCCTCCATCCCTTCCCCCCACCCCCACTTCCTCCCTTCCCCCACTTCCTCTCCAAGTTCCTTCTCAGAGAAAGCTCCCTTGAGACATCAAGACTCATTCCTTAAGACGTCGACCTTATGATTTTCTGTTCCCTTTGATGAATAGAAGGAGAGCAATAAAAGGAAGATATATGCACAGTTAAGAAGAGAAAGAGACGAGATAAAAAGCGATGCGTGAAGTTATATCTATTTCTGGTGTAAAAATAAATGGAAGGGATGTAAAAAGAAAAAAAAAAGGTCGAAGTACGTGCAAAACAAAATAAGGGCAAACATAATTTTTTTCCATATCAGGTGCGTACCAAAATTAGAAAGTTTTAGGTACATAGTGTAAAAAGATACATATCACTATACATATATATCCATCTCTTTCTAAGATGCAACACACCACAACACACCACACACACACACACACACACACACACACACACACACACACACACACACACACACAACACACACACACACACACACACACACACACACATATTTGTATAGATATATATAATATATATATATATATATTATGTATAATATATATATATATATATATATATATATATATATATACGCATGTATGTGTGTTACATTATGCAAATACCCGCAGTAAAGGCTGTAAAGTGCAAGATAATGTGATGTTCCCGTGTTATTGGCCTGTGTTGCTGTTCCAAAGGGCGATCCATCTTGAAGTTCCTCGGGGGATGGAGTTAGGTGGACGTGAGCTGCACTTTGGATGTGTCTCTCTGTTTGTCTGGATGTAGGTCTGACTGTCTGTCTGTCTCTGTCTCTCTCTCTCTCTCTCATCTCTCTCTCTTTCTCTTTCTCCCTCTCTCTTGTGGTCTCTCTCTCCTCTCGTCTCTCTCTCTCTCTCTCTTCTTCTCCGCCTCTCTCTCTCTCTCTCTCTCTCTTCTCTCTCTCTCTTCTCTCTCTCTCTCTCTCTCTCTCTCTCTCTCTCTCTCTCTCTCGTCTGTCTGTCTTCTCTCTCTCTTGCTTTTCTTCCGTTCCCTTCTCCCTCCTCCTCCCCACCCTCTTATCCATCCTTCATTCCATCCCTCTCTTCCTCCTTCCTTAATTTTCTCTCCCTTCCCTTCCTTCCCCTTCATCCCTCCCCCTCATCACTTCTTCCTTCTCTCCCTCCTCTCTCCTCCGATCCTTTCCTCCTCCGTCCCATCCCTCTCTTCCTTCTTTCCCCTCCCTCCTCCTCTCCCCTCCTGAGACGATCCATCTTGACCCCCCCCCCCCCCCCAGGGCTCGTCTTCGTCCTCTCCCTCTCCTTCTCCTTCCCTCCTTCTCTATATACTTCTCCCTTTCTTCCCTCTTTCTCCCCTTCTATCTCTCTTTTCTTCCCTCCTTTCTTCCATATCCTTTCCTCCTTCCTTCCCCTCTTTCCATCTCTTTCCCTTTCTATCCACCACTTCTCTTCTCATTTCTCCCTCCCCCCTCTCCCTCTCTCCCTTATTCCTCCCCTGAGGTCTCTCCCTCCCTCCTTCTCCCCAATCATCTCTTCCCCCTTTTTCCTATCCCTCCTTTCTCTCCCTACTTCCCACCCTTCCCTCCTCTCCCTTTCTTCCTTCAATTTCCACCATCCTTTTCCTTCTCATTCTAGCCCTCTCTTCCTTTTTTTCTCCTTCCCTTCCCTCCCTTCCTCCCTTATCCCCAAGAGACGCTCGCCTTGTTCCCCCGAAGGTCCTTCTGTCGGCGTCCATTCGTCGACGTCCCTCTTCTCCGACGTCCCTTTGTCGACGACCCTCTGCTAACGCTCTTCCATCGACGTCCCTTTGTCGACGTCCCTCCGCTGATGTCCCTCCAACGACGTCCCTATGTCGACGTCCCTCTGCCTAACGCCCGCTCCACCGACGTCCCTCTGCCGACGTCTCTTTGTCGACGTCGCCTCTGCCAACGCCCCTCTATCGACGTCCCTTTGTCGACGTCCCTCTGCCAACGCCCCTCCATCGACGTCCCTCTGCCGACGTCCTTTGTCGATGTCCTCTGCCAAACGCCCTTCCATCGACGTCCCTCTGCCACGTCCCTTTGTCGACGTCCCTCTGCCAACGCCCCTCACATCGACCCCCTCTGCCGACGTCCCTCCATCGCCCTCCATCGACGTCCCTCTGCCGACGTCCCTTTGTCGACGTCCCTCTGCCAACGCCCCTCCATCGACGCCCCTCTGCCGACGTCCCTTTGTCGACGTCCCTTGCCAACGCCCCTCCATCGACCGCCCCTCTGCCGACTCCCGTTTGTCGCGGCCTGCTGCGCAACGCCCCTCCATGCGACGCCCCTCTGCCGTACGTCCCTTTGTGCACGTCCCGCTGCCAAACGCCCCTCCATCGATCGCCCCTCTGCCAGTCCCTTGGTCGACGTCCCTCGCCAACGCCCCTCCATTCGACGCCCCTCAGCCGACGTCCACTCCATCGGCCCTCCATCGGATCGTCCCTCTGCCCGACGTCGCCTTTGTCGAGCGTCCTCTGCCAACGCCCCTCCATCGACGCCCCTCTTGCCGAGCGTTCCTTTGCGAACTCCGTCCTCTGCCAACGCCCTCCATCGACCGCCCTCTCCGACGTCCTGCGATCCCCCTTCACGCCCCCCATCGACGCCCCTCTGCCGACGTCCCTGTCGACGTCCCTCTGCCAGATCGCCCCTCCATCGACGCCCCTCCGACCGACGTCCCTCCTCATCGCGTCCCTCCGTCGGACGTCCCTCTGGCCCACGTCCCGTTGTCGACGTCCCTCTGCCGAACGCCCCTCCATCGTACGTCCAACTCTGCTGACGTCCCTTTGTCGGCATCGTTCCCTGCTGCCAAGCGCCCCTCCGTTCGTACGCTCCCTCGCACCTCCGCGATATGAATAGTTGGTTTTCTGATAGAATTCGCATAGCATACTTTATTCGTATTCAAATCATCATATTCGGTTCCCCATTAAAATAACTTGAAAAGGACAAACGACCTGAAGATGTCATTCCATTCACAATATTAACAAAATGGTCCTCTACCGACGTCCTCTGCCAAACGTCCCTCCATCGACGTCCCTCTGCCGACGTCGAGCTTCGTCTTGCCAGCACTCGATCGTCTCTTGTCTCAGGAATTCGTGCGTCGAGCGCTGTTTGCATCAGGGACGATCATGTTGTCGCTCCTGGAGAGGGCGATGCGTCACGAGGGAGGGCGCCAGAGCGTCACGATGATTTATGTGCGTAGCGGGGTTTAGAAAATTATTTGTACGTGTAGGCATGTGTATAACATATTACAGTCATGTATCCAACATAAATACACACATGCAGGCCGTACACGTAAGCACGAAACGTACAAACCAACACACACACACACACACACACGCACACACACACCACACACACCACACACACACACACACACACACACACACACACACCACACACACCACACACACACACACACACACACATATATACATATATGTGTATATTCCGTCTGTTTGCGTGAATATATGTGTGAATTCATAATAGAGTCACATCATAATTCTGCAAGTTAGACAGCCGGTTGAACTTATTTTCGATAAAAAAATACGAGAGAATGAGAAAAAAAACACCAACGAAATGAACAGCGAACTTAGAAACTTAACGAGATTATCGAGCCATTTCAATGAAATCCATTTAACTCATTACCGTAACTTATTAATTAAACCTAGTCCAGTGAAACATATCTTATTTTTTAAGGTATTTTTTTCATCCTTCTCTGATCACAATACTCCTGATTAAAGGGACGAAATCTGATGAATCCTTAGTGATAAGTCTTCAGAAGTTATAATTAGTACATGGACAGATTTAAAAAAATACTGACTAGATAACGATGAAGCTCTCGACATTTTTATTATCATTATTTTGTAATGTCTATTAGTATTTGTGAATGTAAAATGGCTATTTAACTATGTACATATCTGGCCATCTATCTATCTACCAAAGCTATCTATCTGTCTATCTCTATCTTTCTATCTATCTATATAAATATCTAAGAATCTGTCTATCTATCAGTGTTCTTTTAACTATGCATCTATCATATATACTTAAACAGAGAATGTGTAATAAAAAAAGGAAAAGCGAGGAGTGAGAGAGAGAGAGAGAGAGAAAGAGGAGAGAAGAGAGAGAGGAGAGAGAGAGAGAGAGAGAGAGAGAGAGAGAGAGGAGAAGAGAGAGAGAGAGAGAGAGAGAAGAGAAGACGAGAGAGAGAGAGAGAAGACAGAGACAGAGAGAGGACAGAAGAGAGAAGAAGAGAAGGGAGAGGAGAGAGAGAGAGTAGAGAGAAAGAGAGAGAGGAGAGAGAGAGAGCGAGAGATGGATGAACACACAAAA